GCTAGTGATAACAGGATGTAAGATATCTCTCCCGCTGCAGTGCATGGACTGCGAGGCTTCTTCTGTTTGAGGTTCTCTACGGATGCTCAAGAATAAACCTTTCAGCGCGTTCTCAACCTTGCAAGCCTCCGGACCGAATCCCTCATTTCAGCTGTGAGTTTCAAACGACAAGAATAGTGACCCATGCCCCTGCCAGAGTGCCAGCAGTGCGAGAGCAAAACACTTCGGTCGCAGAGTAGCATATAGTATCGTGATGCTGGCTATTACTGTCATACTATGTTTCGCCTACAACCCCTCAGAACACAAATAGTCATGAGTACATTGTATACACATTTTTTCTAAAGGGAAAATCCAATAGCAAAGAAAGATCTCATGTCAGTGGTACTTAAACATTACTGTCATACTATGTTTCGCCTACAACCCCTGAGAACACAAATAGTCATGAGTACATTGTACATACATTTTTTCCAAAGGGAAAATCCAATAGCAAAGATCTCATGTCAGTGGTGCTTAAACAGCATATTCGCAACTATCACTTGTGTTTGTTACGTAGAGACATTATCACATATTCGTGTGCCAACTAAATGAGACTGTAATTAGCTCCAATTATTTTTCGACATGATATCGGATCTCGTGCAACGGTAATAAGAGCTATCATAAAATGGATATTGGGTTTTGTTTAATGCTGTGTTAAGATGACGTTTTTTGGTGATTTGCATAGAAGTTCGCATGAACTCAACAATATTCGCAGGTAGTGGTTTATGAACCATGGTGAGGCTTACTGAAGGGGGTTTTATCAAAAGCCATAGGATGCGTAAGGGTATGGTTTTGTGCTCGTAACCCACATCGATGGCTCGCTGTAGTTGCGGTAGGCTTATAGGCAATACTTGGCACGACTTGTTTGTGGCTGGATGGTGGTAAAAGGGTTATCGGCCGTGTTTATTATGCTTATTCGTGTTTGGATAGTCTGGGTTCTCGACTATATCTGCTGGACATGGTGCTGATGATACAGATGGCCATGACGGTTTTATTAGGGAACTGACGATGATGACACATATTGTGAAGATGGTTCTATCAGGGAGATGAAAATCATCCTACGGATGGCGAGGAAGGCTGTAGTAGGAAAACATAATATGAGTACATAGGCAATACATAGCACGGTTTTTTGTGTTGACCACAACACTTAGATACTTTGGGCCATAACAATCGAGATTGAATGATCGGTAGGGTTTGTGGAACCCGTGAGGGATGCGCCTCATTTGGGTTTGCAATGTACAACCCAACAAGGATGTGGCATTTTTGCTATAATGCAATTGCGTCTCTGTGTGCTAACTTTCACTCGAATTGTGTATTACAAATCTAAGCGCAATGCGGTTTTAGCATTGTATCATCATGTCGCACGTATGGGTGTGCCTGTGATACACGAAGAGTATGTATTGTGCACGTAACATAAAGAAGTGCGACCCAGCCACTCTCGTCATATCGCAGTCATATCGCATTCATTCGCACCGGAGCGTACCCTACAGTTCTAGAATGTTTTAAACCTTCTCGTCTTTCGCGCAACGTCAACCTGCCAGGTCGTGCCTTCTCCGGGAATCGGCTTGGCGAACTTGGGCATGCGGTGTTTTGGAGCAAAAAGTGGCAGTACAAGGAGTCCTGGGCGGCCTACTTGTGTTCCTATTCTGTCTATATGGAGTATCCTGCGCTGTGTTTGTTTCGGACGTGGTATTGCATCTAGGAGCTTCCACTGCTCCTAAGATCTAGAATTCGAAGCTGTTTCTGAAATGCGCGGCAGCTCGACGGGAATGATTCCGGGGCCATCCTGGGCTGTCACTCTGCAGGCCAGCCAGTTCGGAAGTACTATCCTCCACCGAACCTCCGCAACAAGACACCAATCACCAGGACATCTGTCGCATGCTTTCCCCAACCGCCCTGGACCGACCAAGTCTTTTCGCATTGTTGTTTTTTCGGCTTCAGCTGGAGCATATGAATGCAGAAGATGCTCCACAGTGAGCATGTGCGCAGTACAGGATGCAGATGCAAGTCAGTTCGGGAATGTAATAGTGTGCTTTGTCTCCACCATGTTTCGTGGGACCCACGGCGCTTGGAGGCACGCTCCCGGTTTGAATGTACTAGTTACTAGTGAGCGTCATTGCTAGTTCTTTGGTTGTGTCCGCATGAACGTCTCTAGTCAATTTCGAATGGTTTGCCCTTGGCTTTCCAAGTCTCTAGTCTCTCGCGAGCGGATTGCTTTTTGTTCTCAAATACGAACGGGTTGCTCCTTTTTCTCAATTCGAGCGGTTTGTTCCTTCCGCCATCTTCCGCCCATAGTCCCTAGTCGCCCAAGTCTCTTTCGAGCGGTTTGCCCTCGCATTTCACAAATTGTCTTGTCCTTGTCGAGCGGTTGTTCTAAATTTTCCTTTTAGTCCGTTTTGAGCGGCTTGTTTCTGTTTACCGAATTCTCTAGTCCTTTGCGCGTGGCTTGTCCCTTGCTCTCAAACTGTAGCTTTCGGGCTGTTTCCTCCCTGTTCTCAAATTCTGTGTTCTTTTTCTAGCGGTTTGCTTTCTTTTCAGATTCTCCAGGTTCAACCGATCGGCCTGCTCCTTGCTCTCCTTGCTCTCAATGTCTCAAGTCTCTTTTGATCCACTGCTTGTTCTCAAATTGCCTTCAAAGTCCCTTGAAATCGCGGATTGCTCCTTTTTGCTACTTCTGCCGTTCCAGCTTCTTGCTCCTTTGTCTGGAGTTATTCTTTCCCTTCTGAGTGGTTTTGCTTGTTTCGCCCAAAAAGCTTTAGTCTCTCTGAAGCCGTTTGCTCCTTCTCAAACTCTGTAGGCCCTTTTCGAGCTTCTTGGAAAATCCTTGTGCCAAGGAGCCATGGCGGCGCTGATCTCGACAGCGCCGGCCGCCTTGCGGTGGTGGCCTCCCTGGTGTCGACCTGCATAGGTGGCAACGAATGGGCGTGTGTGAATTGAGGGAGTCCATGGGGTTTCTTTGGTTTAGGATGCCCGTGGGTTTAGCCTTTCCGGGATTTTGGGAGCTGAAGGAGGCTGTTACCTTCCACAGAGACTCTGGAGTGAAGATTCCGGACGGGGGTGGTGAAGTGTAGGGTTCACGCGATGCCATTTCTGGGAGGATCTTCTGTCGGGTTGATGAGATTGAGGGTTGGTTTTCGGGCTACGGCGCTTGGTCATGTGGGGCTTGGGATGGGAGAGCCTTTGTGGGGCTACGGGCTAAGGATTTCATAGGGCTTATCAGGATTTACGGAATTAGGGTGTAGGTCGTGGCATTTGGGGTTGGTGCAAATATTCCTGTGTTTGAAGCTCTGTTATCTTATTTTTGGGGCAGTTTTGGGTTCAGTCTAAGTTCTCGACTTTTGGATTCCTTCGAATCTAGAGCCTCCAGAATTTGATATGGGGTTCTCGTGCAACCCCGATCGTGGCCATGCTACAGTTGGGCTTACCCCAAGCCCACTGGCGCTAGGAGGCTATGGCTTTAACACCAAAAACCGCTGCATGTGACTCTGTCGTGTTCATTGTGCGTGAGATTGTGAGAGAAACCCCACATCCCGAAAGCCTTAAGCCCCGAAACTTAAATCAACCACGAACCCAATAACAGTTCAAAGTTGAAGGCCTCAACCACCCAACAACGTGAACCCCCCAACCAGGACACGAAAGCTTTAGAGTGATTGGAGGTCCTGTTCACAGCCTTTTTGCAGAAGTAGGAGCACTGGCCCAAATTTAGATTGTTTCAGGCCAATGTCAGTGTTAGGCGTAGTCGTTGCCGCAACGACAACAACAAGAAGAGCAAGAACACTATACTACGGCCAAACCGACATGTTCCGTAAGAGTGGCAAAGACATGCTCGGACTAGAAGTGGATCTCCCTCCTCTGCCCCCAGAACCTGAGCCCAACGCCCCTCAAGTTGCTGCATGACAAAGCCCTTGAGACCACAAATTGACACCCCGAAGACCCTAAACCGCCCAAAACCCTGAACCGTAAATCCCCCAAAACCTTAAACTCTAAAACACCGACAACCCCAAACCCTAAAACGCCGAAAACCCTGAACCCTCAACCATTTGAAACCCCCGAAAGAATGGGAGGTTCGGTTTGTTTTGTGGCGCTGACCCGGCGCTGCCCCGGCAGACACCATCTCCCGAGCGACCGGGGCCAGGTGAGACAAGGGTTTCAAGAATGAGCTTCCTAGGGTTTTGGGTTCAGGGTTTCAGGTTTCGGGTAGAGTGCTTGGGCCTTGGGATTAAGGTTTCGGGGAATCCTGAACCCAAGACCACAAGCTGAACCCGAAAGCCCTGAAGCCGTAAAACCATGAAGCCCGAAATCATAAAGCCACAGCCCTAGACCCGAAATCCGTAAACCCGTGACCAGATGTAATTAAATTCGAACTTTTGGAAGTCTCCATCTGCCCATATGCGAACCAAGCCTCGGTAATTCAGGTTTACAGTAGCCGCCACGCCGGCAGAGGGTTCTTCGAGACTACTCGTCTCCTACCCCGCAAAACTCGGAACCCGAACAGCGTAAAGCCAAAGACCCAGACGCAGACTAGGCCTTGAGCTAGGCCCTACCTTAACCTGCAAAAACCTTTGTTTTTTTTATTTTTTGTAGGTTAGAATTATGGACCCTACTTTGAATTTATAGGGACCCTACAAAAAGGTATGTTTTGGTGGGTTAAGGTTTTGCCTCCAGGCCCTCAGCCTTGAACTCCTCCAAGCGAGAAACGCCGAGTGCCGAATCATAAGTTTTAAGAAAGATCCGCAGTGAGAAGCCTGATAAAAGGGCACTGATGTAGTGGTTACCCGAGGGCCCCGAATACCTACGATCATATGCCTCGAGACACCCAAAACGGCATCGCTCCTCGAAGAATCCGCGAGGTATCGCGAGCCATTGGACCACACAGCAGTCGCCCTGCAGCCAACGGTTTAATGCACGCCTGCTTTTTTGCTACCATTCAAGTGTACCTTGTGGGGCTCAGGCTTTGGATGTGAAGTTGGGTTTAGCATCCAAGGTTTGCTGCACGGTTTGGGATTTGGGGTCCCGCTGTTTTTGTTCACCCTTGAGCTGTCCTCAACAAGGCCCTAAACACTCAATCTCAAACCCTAACTCCTGAACCCTATTAAACCTTAGACTTTACTTAACCCCGAAGCCCTATACCGTTCGTAGATGCTTGCGTGGATTTGTGGGGAACCCTTCATCCTTGAATTCCTTCGCTCGGCCAGGGGAATTCTCTTGCTGCTTTCAGCGTGAAGTTGGGGTTGGGCTGCACGGCAAGAGGACCCAAACCAACTAGTGTCATTGCCTACCAAACGCTACGCTAGCCACTGCCCTAGTCAAACCCCACACCCAAAAAGTATCCATATAAACCCTAGCCCTAGACATCATGCCAAATGCACGTTCGGTAGTTACTTGTTGCTTCGACCCCATGACCTTTGCCGAGGATGGCTTCTGATGTAACTAGCTTGGGAATTCAAGATTTCTGACGGGTGTTATTGAATTTTGCAGGATTCTGTTGGGGGTCCATAGGGTTGTCATTATATGAGACGCGCACACTATACCGCCAGTGCCATTCTCATCATGAAGGCCTTGATCTACGCGAAGCCTGTCTTTGAGGAGACCGGAAACCCTACGCAAACCCAGCAACCAGGCAACATCCTTCACATGCAATGAAGAGGTCATGTCTGACATTTGTTACGTAGCATTTGGTGTGTGGGGGTTGAGAAACCCGGATCGGCCTTACGGGAGTGTCAAATCCTTGAGCCCTATAAACACTTCACCCTGAACCGCAACCCGAAACCCTTAACCCCTGACTGTTACTCTAAACCGTACCGCAGCCAAAGTGTCTCAAGCGTGGTGCAAAGGGTACGAGTACAAGACGGTGAGCATCAGGGCAGCGGTGCTCATGGTCAGAGGTCTAGGGGTTCACGTTCAGGGTCTTTCATCTCTGATTTGTACATCTTTGGGACGCTGTCACGGAAGCCATGTGGCACCGATTCTGCCCTGAGGCCTGGACGAGGGGGATGAATCGTGTCCAGGGTTTCCTATGTACAGAATGCCCACAAATAGCAGCAAAAGACTCTTCAAATAACACCTCTGCAACATAGACTTGACACGATATGCCTGAAACCGATCCCCACTAGTGCATGACACTGTTCCGTGAAACCCAGTTCTTTCCAACATTCATTGCTTGTCGAGGTTTTCAGGCAGACATTGCCATCATCAGCCCAGAAGCAGCTCCCCACATGTGGACTGGCCATGTAAGGCAAAAGGTTTGGGAGGCTACCTGGTGCCTTGCAACTGCAGTAGCCCAGCGAGCACTCCGCACAGCGTCAGCAGTAGACACGCAGGTTCGAGACGAAACATGTATGCGTATACGTGTATATGTACACGTGCAATTCGAATTCGATGGTCCGTTTTGGGATTTGTCTGACCTCATGTGTGAGAGGCATTTCGGCGTTGATGGTGATGACTTCTGACTAGGCGTGAAGGCCCGAAGAAGCAGTGCGTAGGTCGAGGTCCAGCGGCTGAGAGTGATACGTTGCAGATTCACGCAAAACTAGGGCTGGCATCGACAGTGGATGCTGGACTTAGCAAGCATAGTACTTCACAATCCGTTTGCTTTCCCGCAGCAGAAGGATGGACGGGGCTCTTTGCTATTGCTATTAGTATCTCGTCGTCATCTTGGAAGCGTTTGACCTTCAAGAAACAAGCGAAAAAATGACGGCATGCTTCTGAGATCCCGGATGCCAGATGCCACAAATTTGGGACATGATATCATAGTTGTCATAGTCGTCGTAGTCGTGGGCGTGGCGGAGTGATGTAGCGTGGTGACACTCGTAGTAGCCGTAGCAGTCGCAGTCGTTGTCGTAATGTCGTTGTCATCGTCGTCGCAGTCGTGCTAGTCGTCGTGGTCGTTGTCGTCCTGGTCGTCGTAGTCGTCAGCTTGGCATGGTGGCAGTAGCAGTGCTAGCAGTAAGGGTAGTCGAAGTTGTAGGGCACTGCACGCCTGGATTTCTACAACAGATTCCAAATAAACTATTGCATGACATCCAAAGTTGACATCGAGAAGCAGTCCTGACCCGTCCAGTCCCGTGCACTCCCGCCCAGTCTTGGTCCCGGTCCCGACTCGTTTCGTTTTGTCCCGTCCCCTCTTGGGTCCGTCCGCATCTCGTCACCGTCTCCTCGTGTTCGTCCCGGTTCCGTTGCGTCTTCCTGCCCCTCTGGTCCAGGTCCCGTCACCGTCCTTTCTCGTCCAGTCCCTGTCGAAAAAACCTCGCCTATACACCGAAGAATCGAATTCTGTCTTCTAAAGTTGGCAAAGACACTTTGTCGATTTCAGTGGTAATATCCCTGTACGGTGGCACTGGCAGAGCTTGAAGTCTCTCGCCCTAAGCCCCTTGACCCACTCAGCTGCTCCCAGGCTCGACGGCCTCACGGATATGGTCCCCTGACGCATTTGCCGTTTTCTGATTAAAGCCAGGCAAACCTCCCGTCCGCAGGCCTTCCGATCTCTTCCTGTTGCAGCGCTGTACAAGTGTTCGGAGAACTTTTGAGGGTGTTGCAACAGTTTTGTCTGTCTGTGTTTGGTGCGTCAGGTTAGAGCCTGTGGTCAGGGGTCAGGCCACAAGCAAAATGACCTTCGAAGCGGGCCACTGTGCCGACTGTACAGAGGCTCAACCCAGGACAGCAACAAATCAGATTTTAGGACCTCGAGAGTCAGGGTTCGGGGTTTTGGCCTCAAAGCCAATTAGGGTTTATGGTTACGGGGCGTTTTGCAACGGATTGATAGCGGGGTTTGCATTTCCTTGCTTCGATTCAGGTTTTCTGGGTGGTTTTGCGGTTCAGGGTTTTGTGTTCAGGATCTGGCCTGGAGGCTTCAGTCTTGGATTCGAGGTTCTTTGCTTAGACAGAGCGCCTCTAGCCCAAACTCTTCTATTCATGTATTTACCTATCTGCCTCTATCCACTAAGGCATATCTTTTAACGAGTTTAGCGATTTGGCGATTAGCACTGTTGTGAGCATGCTGACTTGAGCTTGGGGTTGTAGTAGGTGGGGCTGAGGCGTCTTGTTTTTTGGGGTTTATCACTCAGAGTTTTTTGTTTGTTTAGGCCTTGGGAATCACGACGTGAGTTGAAAGATCAGGTTGGTTGCTGGCCATCGGGACTGTTTTGAGTTTCGGCTTTGGGGCATCGACGTTCTAACACATTCTGGGTATGGGTTTGTTTAAGCGCATATCAGGACTGTCGTGAGTTCTCAGATGCCCTTTGTGAACTCTGGCGCAGTCTTGGCAGTCAAGCTCTGCTGTCGCTGGATCAAGGGCTTCGCAAGCCTTGCCGAACCAGAGATTGCAAGTACGACCATCGCAAGTACTTTGAGCCGCTGCAAAAGGACGTCAGGGTTTCGGGTTCATGATGATGAGTATGGTGGTGCAAGCAACAGTGCTAACCTTTAGTTGCAAACGGACAATCAATAGCACTAATGCCTGTGCAAGTCAAAGTCGCAGCAATAATCCACACCCAAGTGCGCGCAAGAGATGAAATGACACCACTATTGCTGACACCCTAAACCCTTGACCATCCTTGACCTATTCGTCTCATACAGCAGTATAGGCTTCGGTCATAAGGCCGTTCAAGTGTTGAACCCTGTGACCGGGAACCCTCGAACTTGCCTCAACCTAGACTGCTACCTTGCAAGCAACCCGAGTGCTTGCCCGTTGTCCAGAACAGCTGAACAGTTGAGTCGCTGCCGGGGAGCTGACAACTCTCCGTTGCGTTTGGGTTCTACTTGACTGACCCGGAAGTGTCGACCCCCCAAGGCTGAATCCAAGCCCACTCCGACCAAGCAAAGTTCGGTAGTTCATTGACGATTCAAGCCACACCCTGAACAGCCCTAACCCCGCGCCGAAGCCAACCCTAACCGTAAAATCCAAACACTTTGGGAGTCTCTGCACAGGGCACGGGAGAGCCGTCCTACTGTTTCGGGTAGTGGGTCTTAGTCTTGGCAACTCCCGACAGTAGGCGGTGGCTTTGCAGCGCAGGCTCCCCCACCGTCAATCTGTTGACCTGTGGATACCGGACGGCTGTCATGAGTAGGTAGAGTTCGGTGAGAAGCCGGACAGACGAGACCAGCCCGAGGTTCAAGCAAATACCCTTGATCGGTGCGAGACCCTCGGCTTCGAGCGCCATGGGCGTCAACGTCAATTGGTATTGGTTCTACGAGGAGGCCATCGTTCTTTCAGAACTGCTCACAAATAACAGCGAGAACCCCACCCAAGACCATCGATTCGGCATCCTTCGAAAGGTTCACATTGGCTCGTAAAGCCTGACATCCCTCAGAGATGACACTGTTCCGTTAAATCTGGTTCGTGTCAGCATTCATTGCTTTTCGGGTGGACATTGCCATCATCAGCCCAGAAGTAGCTCCCCACATGTGGACTGGCCATGTAAGGCAAAAGGTTCGGGAGGCCACCTGGTGCCTTGCAACTGCAGTGGCCCAGAGTGCGCACCGCACAGCGTCAGCAGTAGACACTCACAGAATTGAAACCCAACCCGCGAAACCGCACCGCGTCGCCGACTGTGGACGAAAGCCCGCCAGATGCAGCCAATCGGAGACATTTTGCACCCCTGGAAAGCCTGCTAACTACAACGCAACTGCCAACGAACCACTAGATCCCCAAACCCTTAAACCCCGCATGCCTGCTACAGCACGAGGCGAGCAGGCTCGACGAACACAAGTTTCGCGAGCTTGTGGACTTTGTGGCGTCTTGGTGCACGATAGGGTCATGATTGAGTTTGAAGTGATTGTCGTGTCGACCATTGCGCCAGCACTCATGGGGTAATGGACGAGCCATGTGGAAGGATGGAAGCCTTGAGCATTGGCTTGGGAAGCACCCGGTCATCCTGAACCCAAAGTCTAAGGCGTCGCTGCTGGACGAGATGCCCATCGCAGTCATTGCCTAAGGGTGCTTATACTGGCTCCTGCTTGAAGCTTT